AATGGACGCATGTGGTGCAGGCGGTCAGACCTCCTGCGCATGCAAATGCACAGCCCAAGCAGTCTCCCACCACCCCCCCCCACCCATTCACAACACACACATGCGCAATACACCCTCAACAACACCCCCCCAAGTCACACACAGAAACAAGCACACACGCACATACACAAAACATGTGCGCGCGCGTGCATGTGCGTGCATTGCCTGCTCAGCACTTTGAAACAGCCCCCACCTGCATCCCCCTTGATGAATCGGCGGATGTCATCACGATACTTGCCGTTCCACTCCGCCCACACGTCCCAATTCGGGAACGACCCCACCTGAATGGGGTGGGATATGGAGGAACGAGATAGGAACGCGCCCGTGCCACACGACAGGGCAGCACAGCAGGCCGGCAGTGAGGGGACAGGGCTGCGGCAGGGAGGTCTTGCATAAACTTAATGGAAGGGGTGGGGGGCGGGGGTGCGCGCAGCTGCAAGCGGTCGCAAGCCCTTACCACGTGATGCGCGTGCGGCGCCGCGCGGCGCCGCTGCCGCTCCACATCCCGCCGCCCGCCGTTCGGCCGAAGCGCCCCCGTCACGCGACGTGCTGCAACCCTAGGGCCCCCCCATGCGACGATGCATCCCATGGGACGCGCATCACGACTGCGCCGTCTCGTGGTCGGACACACGCTCGTCGTGCCCCAAACCGCGCGTCTTTCGACACGCGCCACTCCTTCCTGCAGGCCGCCTCGTCATCGTCGCGTCACGCATCGATCCCGTCATGTGTCCCATCCTGTCACAAAAACCATCAACCCTTCAGCGGCGGTAACCAAATGTAACCCCCAAACCCTGAACCCTAAACCATCAGCTCTGCACCCCACCTGGTACATCCCCAGATCCCAGGGCTCAGCTATGAGGTGGACCTTGGATAGAACCGGGTGCTTGGCGATCTCACGGATCAGGGGGGGCGCGGGCATGGGGTGACCCTTGGAATCTGCGAGCGAGGTTTGTGATGGTTCAGGCGGGAGGGGTGGGAATGGGGTTGCGGTAGGGGTGGGAGGACAGGCAAGCGGGGGACGGGTGAGAATACGCGCGAAATGGCTGGGATGCTTCCAGCGGTCTCCTTGTCTGGACCGGCTTGTGGGTCGCGTCTGCCGCGCGAGAAGCGCAGGAAACCCCCGACTTGCTGGCTCTGCCCCAGGGTGGCAGCTGCTGCTAGCCAGTCAATATGTGGCAAGACGTGAATACTCGGCGCAAATCTCGGGGGCCGCGCCGCGACCTGTTATCTCCAGATCCAATAGCAGCCAACTATGATCACACCAGCGCGAGCAGAGCGGCAGCAGCACCAGGATCCATCGAACCCTGATCCCTGGAAGGGCGCCACGCAGACGGCGCCGCGCGAGCGGCAGCATGCCGGCGGCCCCACCCTGCTGCGACGCGGCGCGGCGCCTGCTCACCCCTGCAGAGGCAGCTGGCCAGGTCAAACCTGAATCCATCCACGTGGTACTCCTCCACGAAATTGACCTGTGGGGGCGAGGTGGGGAGGAAAGATGGTGGACGTGCGGCGCGCCGTGCGTGTGGGTGGTGGGGGGGGAGGGTGGACAGGTGCGTAGCAACAACAGTGCGCGTGCAGCACGCGGCGCGTGGGATTGACGTACAGAACGGAGGGCGTTCGCGTGCGGCATGTTGAGTGCAGTGCGTGCAAAGTCAGGCGCAGAACTGTGTCGCGCCGAGGACGCGAGAGGGTGCAAATTTTTGATGCCTTTCTCCTTGATGGTTTGCGAATGGCGCCAGCTGCAGTGTGCTCGCTTCAGCGCTCTCCTCGCCGTCTTGTGGCAAAAAGCAAGCAAAACCCCACTGCCCACCGCAGAACAAAAGCAACACCGCCGCGCCGCACCAGGCTGTCGATGATGAGCTGTTTGACCACAGGGTGATTTGCGTTGACCGTGTTGCCGCAGCCGCTGTAGTTGATGAGCTGGACGTACTGGGAGGTGTCCACCATATAGTAGGTCACCGAGTCGATGCCCCTGGTGGGGGTGTGGGTGCAGAGTGTGGCGGTGGTGATGTGGGGGGTCAGAGGCGCGGTCGAGCAAAGGAAAGCGGGATGGTTCGGGGGGGTTTGGGACGGTGCGGGCCGAGTTGGGATGGACATGGAAGGGGGCAGTGCCGTCGAGCGGCGGGTCGATGCGCTGACTTCCCTGGGGTTTTTAGCGTAGAAGGGTGCATATGTGTGCGCACCCGCACGCGTGTGCGCAGGGGTGTGCGCGTGCGTGTGCGCGTGCGTGTGCGCGTGCGTGTGCGCGTGCGTGTGTGTGTGAGAGAGAGAGAGAGACAGAGAGAGAGAGAGACACAGAGAGAGAGAGAGAGAGAGAGAGAGAGAGAGAGAGAGAGAGAGAGAGAGAGAGAGAGACCCCACGTGTGTAATTGATCATCTGGTTGTGCGAGGGCCCCACCTGAAGCTGATGGTGTAGGGGTGCTTATCGTCCAGCTCAGCGGTGTGGTTGTACACCACGTCAAGAATCACCTGGATGCCCGCAGAGTGGAGCCTGGGTTTTGGGAATAGGGGGGGGGGGAAGGCAGTGGTGGTGAGGGAGTGCGGGCAGCAGCGCTGCGGGTGAGTGTGAAAGCGCATGCGGGGGCAACTCGGTGCTTCCCCTGGTTCCCAGAGGGAGAGGGAGCGAGGCTAAGGGGGTAAGAATTCGCCGACCGGTTTGCGCTGGAGGTCAAAGGCTGCGAGTCCCGAGCCCGAGGCGTGCACACACATGAACCAGGGGCGCCCTCCGCAGACAAACAAGGGGGGCCGGGGCTCTCACTCCTTGACCATCGTCTTGAAGTCCCGCGCGGCGGCCGCGGGGCCCTCGCCGCGGCCGAAGCGGCTCATGGGGGCGAAGAAGGACATGTGGGAGTAGCCCCAAATGTTGACCATGTGCTCCCTGGGATAAGGAGGAACCAGGTCAGGTGGGTGCAGGCCAGGTGAATGCAGGCCAGGTGGGTGCAGGCCAGGTGGGTGCAGGCCAGGTGGGTGCAGGCCAGGTGGGTGCAGGTGCAGGTCAGAGTCGATATGTGGGACGATCAGGCGGACGCGGTGTTCGGAATAGTCTGATGGGTGAGGGATGGGGGCGGGGCGGTGGGAGGGTGGAGTGAGAGGAAGATGCGCGTGTGTGTCCGTGGCTCATGGCTGCGCAGGCGAGGGCATGCTGCCCCACCAAGCACCCACCTGGGGTTCCTCCAGCGCTGCAGCTCGAGCTCGTCGTACTCAAAGACGGGCAGCAGCTCCACGGCGTTGACACCCAGTGACGTCAGGTGGGGGATCTGGGGTGCGGGGAGGGGGAGAGGGTAGTTTAGGGT